TGGTAACCCATGATTTAGATTGATGAGTTAGAGGTTTTTAATTCCTTGAATATCATCTCTGCCCTCTTTCTTAAGCTGAGGCTAACCAATAATTATCATTTATAAGATGATCATAAAAAATGGACATAGAAAATAATTTTGACAGTTTCTCTCCCTGTAGTTAGGTGGGAGTTTTCTAGAAGAATGAGAAATATCAGCTCTTATTGTCTTTTCAGTATGTCAAACAGACTCAGTTAATCCCATGCTTGACTGGCTGTGGGCTGAGAACTGTAAAGCTGAGTGTCACACAATTTGTGGAAAAATATGAGGGTTATGGGATTCACAGACCATGACTTAGTTAACTTGAATTTTATTTTTTAATGGGAATAACAACGGGCTTTGCAAGCTGATTTACAGTCTCCAGATTTAACTGCATAAGGGTTTAATACCCATGCAGTGTGAGTTAGAAAAATGAAAATTTTTAGTACGGTAAATAAACCCTGGAGCCTGGAATCCAAATTGAAGTCTGTAGCCTAGAAAATCAACAAAGACTAAAAATAGTAAGATTAGAGGTGACATTCAACCATGGACCATCCAAAGGTGGTTTTTAAGTACCACCAAAGGAGAAAGCAGGCCATGCTATGATAAGCTTTCAAAAATATATAGGTCTAGAGAACATTCTGTTCATTATATAGGTATGGAAGCTTAAAATATAGATTTTGTTTTCTAAAGTTTTGAGTTCCCATGTTGTTTATTTCACAAGAATTAAGAGGGTACTCCCTTTAATTTCCAAAGGAGAAGACTTGGCATAATTTATATGGAATTGAGAATTTACTTTGGTGATATTGATATGAAGGTTAAATGCAGTTGCTGTTTTCATTCAGCAAAAATTGAGCAAACAGCTCTAGCATTCACTGGTCTCTTAGCAAACAGCCAGAGGATTCCCTTCAGAGCAGGTAAAGAAATATTGCAGGACCAGGAGAAAGAACACAAAAGAGGAAGCTTTGTAAGATTTTCTGTGTGATCAAGCTACCTCATTCACATTATTAGCATAACCCCAAGTTTCTTGGTAGAATTTTGCTCATATCCTAAAACTTTGTACATGTGGAATTAAAAAATAAATAAAAATAGGCAGGTCCTACACATTGCAGAAACATCAAATGACTGACCTGAGCTGCATGCACATGACTGTTACTGAACTCATGACAAACCAGGACACTATAAAGTCCTCAGGAATCTGAGCCTTCCTTTGGAATTTTCTTTTAATCTTCTAGAGTGCTCCATAAATGCCCTTTTTTAGTAGGAAGAGTGATTTGAGGGAGTAGGACTGATGATTTTCTCTTGACTGCTGAGGGTAAAGGAAGTAGAATGCCAAGTATCCCCCAACCTCAGTAGAGAAGAGCAGGGCATTGGGAATGAGTGATTCAAATGAGACAATTGGTAAAATTAAACTTGGGTATTCTAAGAACTGGTGTTCATAAAAACAGATGAAGTCTTGGATATCATTGCATGAGGCAGAGATTGGAATGTGAAAAAAGGAAGTTAGAATGTTAGCATGTTAAGGATAATACTGATCGTAAGATGAAATATTTAAGTAGTCAGTCTGGCTTCTCATAGTTTCTTTTTAGTTGGGTGAAAAATTCTGTCTCTGACTTTCCTTGTCAGGAATTCATCTTAGCAAACATTTACTGTATACCAGCCATGCCAAGCTCTAGGCCTTGGTTCTTTAAAGAGGAATGTGACCCAGCCTCTGCTCAAAGATATAATCTGTTGAATAGAGAGTAGCCATTGTTAATGCCAGTTTTTCACATCAGAATATTTTTTATGATATTATTTGATATGTAATGATGAAAAATATATTCTTTATTAAAATTCTCACATGCTGTGCTGGGTTTGTGGCTCAGTGGCAGAGTGCTTTCGTTGCACATGTGAGACACTGGGTTTGATCCTCAGCACCACATAAAAACAAATAATAAAAAACAAAATAAAGATATTGTATTCATGTATAACTAAAATTTTTTAAAAAAATTCTCACATGCTTCATTCCCTATGAGGACAGGTGTGTGTTACAAAGGCAGGGCTGTTTATATTATGTGCAAAAAGAAATACCAGATAGACTGTAGATCTAAAATGAAAACTATCTTCATGACTTTGGGATGAGCAAAGATTTTTAAAACAGGACACAAAATATAGCAACTATGAGGGCAAAAAATGGACAAGTTGAACTACATTAAAAGAAAAAGTGTCAGTCCCTCACAAGATACCATAAGAAAATTAGTTCTAATAGAATGGGAAAAGGTTTCACAATACAAATGTCCTTCTGTACACAGAGTGGCAGCACCTTGAGCTCATGTAAGGTCTTTGGCCACCAATATCCTGAGTAGGAAGGAGAAAAAGAGACATAGTTAAGGAGGAAATACTAGAAACAAGCTTGATTACTTTCTAATTTTGTGTGTCATTAACTTGGCCCATAATCCTGTCTAAACTACCACTTATTTTAAGATGTCTTCCTGTGCATTAAATCTTTAAAATCCTCACCAAAACCTGTAGGTACATTCTACTATATAAATTTACATATGAAGAAATCTAGGCTTAGGGAGATAAAAGACCTTACTCATTTTCCAGCTGTAACTGGAACTTAAGTCTATATGATTTGAAAGCTAATCCTCTTGGCATGTCTATTATGCTGCCTTATATTTTTGAGACAAATTTTATTTGATAGAGCATAATGAGGAAAAGAAAAATAATATATGTGATATTCAAATTTGATGTTCAGAAGGACTTCTCCAACCATTCCTTTTCTGTTGTAATATGGTAAGGACTGGGGGAGGGATGTTGAGAGATCCTCCATGAAACAACACAGGCTAGGTTGGAAATTCCCCTATATGGGTGACCCATGAGCCCTTCTCAACACTTTAGGGACTTTTTAATTACTCAAGTAATTGCCTATGATAGGCAGGCTTTGTTTTCTGCTTATTAAACAACTCTCCAGGCTAGATTTTATTCCTCTTACCACTAATTCATATTCAGAGATATATAAAATGAATGCTGCCAACTGATTGCCACATCACTGTCTGCATATCAATGTTCCCCTGCCTGTTTGGATACAGAGAGAAAGAAAGGAGAAGGGAAGGAAAGGAGTATTACAAGGAAACTGTGATGGCTGGATTCGTTTTAAAAGCCAAATTCTGTTATGGAAACCAGAATTTTGACATGCATTAATTATTTGTATTTGTGCATGGTTAGGATTTGGGGATTGCCCTGCTTAGCTTATGTGTGTCCTCTTTTTCTCTTCTTGTGATACATGGCATGCCTTGAGAGCATACTCAGGTAAATATTTAATAATTTTAGTTCTTTTTTTTCCTGTGATTTGATTTTGGTCCCTAGCACACTCATGTTTGTAGCCTATGGAATGTTTATACCATCAGAAAATGATTGCAACCCTAAATGAAATTTGGACCACTTATTTCTTTATTTTTTAGTTGTAGGTGGACTCAATGTCTTTATTTCATTTTTATGTGGTGCTGAGGATCGAACCCAGTGCCTCATGTGTGCTAGGAAAGCACTCTATCACTAAGCCACAACCTCAGCCCCTTGGACCACTTATTTCTGAATGTGTCTCCACAATAGTCTAATGATGGTAATGTTTGTGTAAGCAATATGGTGGAAAGGCTCATGATCTGATTTGAATGGGAATATATGTGGATATGATTTTAGAGCTTTTTGTTTACTTAAAAAAGTCCTTTCTTTATCTTTGGGGCTTTATCTTTTATTGCTATGACAATACATGAGAAAGAAACACCAAACAAGCTGAAATAATTGAAAATGCCCACATCTAACCTAACTTAATTTATCTTGCTGGAATCTATTTAGTTATGTGGACTTGTTTTACATTCAGGTGCTTATTAAAAAAACTGGACAGAAGCTGTGGATTGCATTTTTTTGAGATGTAGTTTGAAGTTCTAGTTTAGAAATAGATACCTCTTCAGGGAATATGTAATTATTTATTAATATGATTAGGATTGTACATTGTGTCTTGAAGCTATTCAGAGAACTGTAGGAACATCTGTTGTACTGTGATTTTGGAGGCTGTTAGGTTGTTTCCCCAAATGCCTTGACAACAGCAGTTCGACATAGTTGGAATAGGCAGTGCCACAGTGCTTCAGTCTCCATCGGGATTTTTTCAGCTTGGTGTCATGTTGAAAAATTGATATGCTCAAGCAAGTTTGAGGTGCTCTTTTTTTTGCAAAGGTTTGTTTTCATTGAGTCCTGGCTTTCCTCTTTCCTTATTTAATGCAACAGTGACAACTGTCATTTCCCAGATTCATGTAACAGTATTATTAGTGATCTTATAAATAGAAAATCATTTTCCAGGTGGGCTTGGCAGCCATTTTATACACATGGCCTCATTTAAATGGCCAAGACTTTGCATGTGTAAATAGGCAAGTTTTCAGGCAATTTGGGTAAGCTTGCCAATCTTGCCTCTCCATTTCCTGTCTAAATAACTTCTTCCATGTCCACAGCATGTTTATGCAACATTGAATAAAACTTCTAATGGGAAATTTTTTCCAGGTGACCTCCCTGAGAGGCTAAACTGTGAAGAAATCTTAAGAAATCTGACCCTGATGAAATTGCCTCCGTTGAGACTATTACTTGGTACAGAAACAAGAGACCAAATTCAGTTATTTTGGGTTCTTGAATAAATGAATTATGTTTCCTTTTGTGTAGTGGCAGAAGAAATTAACCCCTGCAGAAGATCCAGTCTCAGTTGGAAATTGAACTTTTGGTTTCTTTTGAGTTAGGACAGCCTGGGAGAAGAAAATGTTAAATTGTTTTTATTTGAACCTCAAGCAATTTGGAATCGGTTTTTCTGTCTGTATGTCTTTTATAGATCTATATTTTTCAGAGTTGTCTGTATGTACATTTAATTTTCTGGAGACTAGGACTGTTATTGTCTAATGACCTCCAACTTGGCACTTTGTGTGGGTGGATACTAATGAATCCTCTCTTAACCTTCCCAGCACTGTTGGAGAAATCAATCAGTAGAAGGCGTGACTCTGAGGCCGTACAGAAAGCCAAAATCCTTTATTCATCCTGCATGAATGAGAGTGAGTAATAAAATAAATAAACCATTTACCACCCTTATCCTTTAGAATTATATTGAAGTTTAAAGATATTGTTTATGGAAAAAGAACAAAAATTCTATTAATGTTTCAAGGTATCATTTGAGGAAAGGAGCAATTTTCAGACTGGATTTTGACTAGTCTTTCTTAGTTAATCTCTGTGGCTGGCTTGATGGAAAATCATCTTATTTTGATGACTTGGATTATTCGGGCATCAGTTACTCTATGAAAAACTTGGGCAGGGCAGTAGGGCAAACCCCACAAAAACCAGCATCCAGAAGCCAGGCTAGTTCTGGTCTGAGAAAGAGGCTCTGAGAAAGTATACTTGGAAGAATTGGTATATTTCATAGGACATGTTGGGAAAGAGAGAAATCCAGATTCCCAGGTGTGACAGACTTCTTTGTTAGCTTAACCAGCATCACTGTTGTGTGCCTCAGACCTGTCTTTCAATATCTTGGATATGACTAGATTGGAAGACATGATACCCATTTTACCGGATCTGCTTTCTCAAGGCTGTTGCAGGAATGAGCCAGTGCTTCTAGAAAATATGTTAACTGATCTAGGATCTGGGGTATCATTTGGCAAACTGGGAGAAGGCAGAAAATCAAGGGTCTGGAGCATTAGTTCACTTTATTGCACAGTGATTGGTTTTATTGATCAGTTTCCTTTAAAACTAGGATTGTGCATTAGTACCACCAAGTACTATAAGTCTAACCAGGATCAATGTAGCAAACCCATATTCTATTGTAGAGAATATCCAACAGGTTCATCCATCAGCTTTCTGGAGTAATACCATATTTAGACAGTCACATTAAAGTGTGAGTTAGAGTGCTGTATCTAGGTTAATCTCAATCCAGGATACCTCTCTTTCTCTCTCCCTAACAACTGAATTTTCAAGTATGGGCACTTTTTCTTGAGAAGATATATTTGCATTCTAGTTTGGTAATCCAGCTTGCAATTCTAACTCTCCCTTAATTTCTGATCCCTTTCAGAAGCCATCGAAAAAGCAGATGCCAAGCCACTGCTCCACATTCTGCGGCATTCACCTTTCCGCTGGCCTGTACTTGAAGCTAATATCGGTCCTGAAGGAGTTTGGTCAGAGAGAAAATTCAGTCTTCTGCAAACGCTTGCAACATTTCGTGGTCAATACAGCAATTCTGTGTTCATCCGTTTGTATGTGTCCCCTGATGACAAGGCATCCAATGAACACATTTTGAAGGTATAGCCAGGAAGGATTCTTTGTTCGCTCCAAGATTAGCTTTTTAGGCTGCCTTCCTAGGGAAAGAAATTCATGCCGCCTTAGTGAAATGATGAAGTAAAAATTCTGTTGAACATTAGAATGTAGATTTGCAGAATGTAGATAATTAGATCTATATTAGATCCCACAAGATTTTCAGAATATAAATCATTAGCAGACAACTTTTGTCAACTTTTCAGGAAGCCTGTGAGTTTAAGTGTTCTGTGATCTGACCCTCAGATATCTGCTCCAGATATCTGAGTGGGGCTTCTAAATTCCAGTGGGAAGAGGGTTGTCGGTCTCCTACTGTCATGAAAGACTTTCTGAATTCTGTCCTTTCTCTCACTTCTTCATTCCCCTGACATAGAACACATGCTATGATTCCTTGTTCCCCCTTTTCCTAATGTTTCATGCCTATATACCTACTTTCTCATTGTCTAGTTCAATTTGAACTTCTCCTCCTTCCTTTCAAAAGATCAAGCAGAACTTGTTCTAAGTACCTGGTCACATTTTTTCTTTTTGGTTGGAAGAGTGAGCATCTCTTCCATAAGGGAGTGGGCCAGGTGGACAGGCCCTAAGGCACATCATATTGATAAAATCAGGAGGCTGTCAGAAAAGTAGCAACAACAGAAGATTCAACAATGAAAGAGTTTTGTAAAAATTCAAGTAATATTTTCAAATTGTTTTGTGCTTTGATCTTGTTGGGTTTTTAACTTTTACTTCCACAGTTACTTTGGCTAATAATGATGATGTTATTGAACCACTGATTTCACCCCTGAATTCTGTCCTTTGTTAAACCAGAAAATATTAATGGTATGATAATAGTCAAATCATAGAAGTATAAATCCATTAGAATATATTACCATCATCCAATATAATTCAGCTTTCCAAAGTCCAAATCCTGGAGTCTATTTTTTGAGTTAGATCAGAGTGGACTTCTTTTTTTTTTTTCTGTAAAGGGACAGAGAGTACATATTTTAGGCTTTTCCCGCCATCTATACTCTGTCATAACTATATATCTCTGCCATTGTACCTGGCTGTGTGGAGGGCTAGCCCAAAGCCTATAGCTTTCTGATCTCCATTTTAGACACTGAGTTTCAATACAAATCTTTGGTCATTGAAAGAATTCCAAACCTACTCAGAAGGAAGTTCTTAGTTCCAGAAACAGCTGTGTTTCTATGTTGGGTGATGGAATGATAGCATAGTATTGAGGTATCTTCTAATGCCATCAGGATAAGATGTGCTACATAAGATACAATGATAGTGGTGACCCAAGTGACCTTTGTTCCATGGTTATAGGTTTCTCAGTTTTTAAAACTATGTTTTAAGACTATCATCCTTAATTACAGAATATGATATTTCTCCAAATACATTCAGCAGTATTATGAAGTGAACCAGAGTATGTCATTGAAACTTAAGTTGATACGCTCTGTTGATTAACAGAAGATGTTGAATAACGCATAGATAAATCATTGCAAATGGTAACTGTTTTCTTTACAGTGATATCTAGATCTAATCAAATAACTGAATTAATTTCTTTAAAGACTTATTATGGAAAGTAATATGCACAGAAATAAAAAGAAAAGAAAAACATACTCCCATGTACCTATTAACCCAGCTTCAATACCCTCACCTTTCTGCTATTCTTTTCTAAGCCTCTTCTTTTTGGGGGAGAGGGAATGGAACATTTTATAGAAAATTCAAAATATAACATCATTGCATTATAAATACTTCAGTACTGATCTAATGGAAAAGACTCTTATCACAACCACAAAAGTGATCATAATTTTATAATTTGGTATCTAATACACAGATAATTGTCAATCTTCCTGATTGTCTCAAGCATGTCCATTTTGTTTCATTTTATTTTATTTTGCAGTGCTGGGGATGAAACCCAGGACCTCAAAGATGCTATAGCACATGCTCTACCACTGGGCTACATCCCTAGCCCTCACAAATGTCCTTTAAAAAAACCCAAATCAAAACCATTTGGTCTTTGATTTGGGTTCCAAATAAGAATCATATGATTGATATGTCTATTTTAATCTGTAGCAGTTCCCCTCATTTTTAAAAAACCATGTGTATTTGTTTAAGAAACTAGATAATTTGACCTATAGACCTTTCCACATTCTGGATTCCACTGATTTCAGGGTAACCAAATAACTGATAAAACTAAGTTCTTGTTTTTAATAGAATCACAGCTTAAGAATTCAGGAGAAATAATGGAATTAGAAAGTTACCATTAAAAAAAAAAAACCTGGGCTGAGGTCATGGCTCAGTGGTAAAGCAAAGCACTTTCCTAGCATGTGTGAGGCACTGGGTTTGATTCTCAGCACCACATAAAAATAAATAAAGGTTCATCAACAACTAATAAAAAAAAACTTGATGATGGGCTGGAGTTGTGACTCAGTGGTAGAGTGCTCACTTAGCATGTTTGAGGCACTGGGTTCAATCCTCAGCACCATATAAAAATAAATAAATAAAGTTAAAAAAAGACCTGATGAAAGAATAGGTCCAGATAACTATCACCAATAGCTGCTAAAACCATTAGGTGACAGTTTGGGACATTCATGACAGATCAGACTGATATCACCTGAACCCAAATATCATTGTTAAACATAGGACAACCAGATATTATGTTCTTCTTGATACCAGTATGAAGTGCACCCCATCTCCAATGATGTGCCAAAGTGAAAGAAAAGAAAAAAAAAAGAACTTGAATCTAATCAAGCCTCTTGTTTCAGTACTAGCTTACAGAAAATATGGGGAATTGAGGAACATGTTAACAGCTTGCCTTGCATACTTAATATTCAATTACAGGGATCCTAGAAACACTAAACTTTCAGTAATAGATACTTCCCAAATGTAAGGAGGCACTCGTGTACTTATTATTATTGCTCTTCTTTGCCCATATGGCCGCTTGTTCCAAACTGAAGTATTTGAGCATTGCTTGGCATTTGAACACAGCACACATTTGCTTTAGTTCTGTCTCTGTGCCATTTTATATTAGTGAATATTCACCCAACTGAATTAACCACCTTCCCCTAAACAAAATGGATCTATAATCTTCCTAACCATGATATAGTTACAGAAAGTGCAAACTTGTGTCTAGAGATGATAGAGGAAGCTTTATTCTGAGATGTGAATGAAACCCAATTAATCTGACCACAAAGTCAATGTATTTGTGGCTGCCAAAATTGTAGAATTTGTGTGTTGCTTTTTATTAGTTTTAAAAGTGGCTAAAATTATAAAAAACAAAATTTCATTAAATGAACATTTGGAGCCACTGAACCCCTTTTAGGTTTTGTGGAACATTGAAGACCATGGGTATGTGGAAATAGTAAGCTTTGCTGGTGAGGAGATTGAGGGTCTCAGTTCACTTTGCGATTTACTCACTGAATATCCTTGTACAAATTGCTTCACTTTTCTGAGTCTCCCTTTCCCAAAGTGTAAAGAAGGCTAAATTAGAATTTACTTTGCACTGTTGCTGTGAGTTTAAATGACTTGAAGTTTTCAAGTTCCCACCATAGATATTAATCCACAAGAGACTCTCATGATAAAAGGTTCCCTTCTCTTAAAACATGACCCAGGACCATTAAAGGATTCTTCTGAATTTGTGTATTTGACATGCCTGTCATGTCTCAAATCTGGTTGTGCAATTTCAGCCTAATCTGATCATGAAGCTTTCTACCACAACTTTTGGCTGGAAAACTGAACCTCAGTCTAGGCACTCCTCACCATCTCATAGTTGCTCCATTTCTTAACTTTCTTCTAGGACATGGGGATACCCTCCAGTCATTGATGATTTGAGAAGAAATTTACTCTGGAACCCAAATAGCTCCTTTAGATGAGCTTCTCTGATTCTGTGGTCCTAGGCCTCTTTTCTCTCTCAGATACTGCCATGTTCTAGGGGACACCAACTGGTTCCCTCTGCTCCCAAGAACCACTGACTTCTTTTTCAGCTTGACAGAATCTCCTTCTGCTCTAGAGGAAATCTCTCGCACTTCTAACTCTCCTCCCTCAGTGCATTTAGGCTTATTTTTTTCATCCAGTTCTATTTTCCCCACTGTTCTTAGCTTCTCTATTATCACAAACCCACAGGGATAAGAAAAATGTCTCCTGCTGGGCAGGAATATTACCATAAGTGTCTTGTTAGGTGAGCATGTGGTACCTCTCGATGAAGAAAAAAAAAAACACTGCTTCCAATGGGCAGATATTTCCCCATCCCAAGGATGTACAGTTTGGCCCATATAATGACCCTTGGCAAAGCTCCCTTGTGACAAGATGGCACAGAATTTGCTACAGGCTTAAATGGGAGAAAGAAAACACAAAAATATAAGATACATCAGAATTGAGTGCCCTGAAACGTTACTTTGCTACATGTGTTTGGGTTTAATTTATGCTAGGAAATAGCAAGAATAAGGATTCAAGGGACAATAGAAGATTTAAAAACTTCTATGTTTTTAAATCTATGTGTGATCCCAAAAGAGTATTTGGAAGGCCAGGGTTGCTCTAGTATAAAGCAACAAATTAAATTCATTCTTACTCAGTGGCTTGCATTTTCTTTTTTGCTTAGGAAAATTCATGATGGGAAGGAGAGACTCTGTTGGAAATGAGATTTTTTTCTAATCTCTTTGTCTTTTTCTGCATCATAATTTGTTAGATGTTTTTGTATTATTATTCTGTCTCCTAACACAAAGTTTATTATTATTTGAGGAAATTTGTATTTTTAGCGCAGTGTATCAGTTTTATTTTCTGCTTGCAATATTCAGATTAGTCATCAATATAAAGATTTTAAAAGCCTCAAATAATATAGTGTCCTGATGTTGGCTTCTTGAGAAAGTCTTTTGCCTCAAGAGTTTGTTTCTAATGAGATTTAGTTGACTGATCTTATTCAATCTGTTGGTGTATTTAAAATGACCCCTAGAACCCCTAATAATCTAAGGGTTTATAAAAGGTCTGGTAGCCTCACTTAAATTATCTAAACTTTTAAAATAAGTGGGTTTATCTTCATTTCATGAGAGGAAATTTTGGCTTTCTTGATATTATCTACAGTTTCTTTTCCTGTGAGACTGAAGCTCACAAGAGTTTCCAAGTGGTCCAAATTTAATTGAAGGCCAAAGCATCTTAATCAAAATATTTTGTTTCATGATCCTGTCTTACTTAATTTTTGGAAGAAACAGTGGTATTTTGGGAATTGCAGCAGGAAGAAGCCAGACTGGCTTGTGACTTTGTTGTTTCAGGCCAATTAGAGAAGGTCAAAAAAAATAATTTGAGGATTTTAGCAATACACAGACAAAATGGATATTTTGAAAGCATCTCTCCCCCCAAGAAACAACCCAATAGCAATATTTTTCCTTGAATTTTCCATGACATCACTAATTCTTAGCTTGGCCTTTGTAAAATTTGTTTCTTGTGAAGGAGGTTTTTATGGAAAATTATAATCTTATTCAGACTTCATGTATTCAAAAGAGAGTAAAATATTTGAGATTATAGGAAGAGAAGAAACTAGAGGGAGATGGATCAGAACAATTTAAAGTTACATAAAATAATGATATGGGCATGTAGGATTTAGTTTTTATTCAGATGCTACTAATTTTTGAGTTAAATTATTTAGGTTTTATATCTTATTAATTCAGCTTAACTTTTTAATGTGAAAATCAGATTTAAATATGGACTGTTTATTGTGGTTGGGATCCATTTTAGTTAGTCTTTAGTCAATTGCTGATATTCAAGGAAAAACAAGCCATAGGATTTAGAGAAGTGTCTGGAAACTTTTTTAAAAATTAAATTTATATACAATTAAATCTAGTTTTGTGATGTATATGTATGTAAATTTTGATCAGTGCATAGAATCTTGTAACTACCATCCACAATCAACAAATAGAGTGATCCCATCACCCCCCAAATTACTTACTGTTGTCCCTTTGTACTCAATTCCTTTCCCCAACCTGAAATCCTGGTGACTTCCATTCTGTTCTCTGCTCCTATAGTTTTGCTTTTTTCTTTTAGAATGTAAGTCAAATGTACCCATGTTTTTGCATATATCAGCAGTCCATTCCTTGTTATTGCTGGATAGTATTTCATTGTGTATCATAGTTAATCATTCACAGGTTGAAGGATATTTGGTTTGTTTCCAATTTTTGATGGTTAAGAATACAATTACATAAAGGTTTGGGGGTACAAGTTTTAATACTCTTAGGTAAATACCTAGGAGTGGGATTGGTGGGTTATATGTAAATGTATGTCTAACTTTATAAGAAACTCAAGTTGTTTTCCACTCAAGCTGATTTCCTCTGAAGTTAGCTGGGCAACTTTGCAGTCACACTAGCAATGTATGAGTGATCTAGTTTTTTCACATCCTAGTCAACACTCATCAGGTATATTTTACATTCTAAAAGAGGTGTGGTGGTATTTTATTGTGGGTTTAATTTACATTTTACTAATGACTAATGATGTTGAACATATTTTCATGTGCCTATTTTCCATCTGCATATCTTCCTTGGTGAAGTATGTTCAGATCTTTTGCCTACATTAAATGGATTGTTCTCTTATTATTGAGTTTTGAGAAGCCTTTATATGCTATGAATACACATCATTTGACATACATATTATTTAAAAATATTTATCCATTCTCTGGCTTGTCTTTCACAGAGCAAAACTTTTTAATATTAATTCTAATTTATTAACTTCTTTTATGTAATCATGATTTCATTCTTATGTCTTAAGGTCACAAAAATTTTCCCTCTATTTTTCTTCTAGAATTTTTATAGTTTTAGGATTTACATTTAGATCCATGATACATTTTCAGGTAATTTTTGTACAAAGTATGAGGTATAGTTCCACTTTATTTTGCATAAAGATGTCCAGTTTTTATAGCATGTACTTTGAAAAGACTGTTCTTTGTTTTGACTGGATTTATGGTGCTATAAGTTTTATTTCAAGAGTTTATATTATAATGTATCATAATAATTCTACTTATTTACTTGTTTGACTATTGGATTTTTGTCATCTATCCTTAACGTTGCAGAGAGATTCTAAAATTTGCAAAGATTTCTTAAAATTATTATTTGATTTCTTTAGGAAAAAATTATTTTAGAGGTAGGGAAGTAGAAGGTCTGATTGGTTAACTCCATCCACATTGGCATTTGCAAATTACTGCAGTAATGAAGATAATAGATCTGATAACAGAAGACACTTACACTGAGCTGTGCCCAATCATATTACCTTGGGAAAGTCATATCAATTCTCTGGCTTTTGTTCCCCACCCCTGTCAAATAAGTGTGTGTGTGTGGGGGGGCAGATAATCTTTAAGATCTATTCTAATTCAAATTGCTTTGATGCTATTCAGTGTTGATAGAAACTCAAAAGGATTACAAACCATGAATCAGGGAAGCAGTGGCAGGTCTCAGATACTTAAGATCTGCCATTGCAAAGTGCCTATTTTCAAGTAGCTCTGAGTAAAATGAATTTTCTTTTGTAATGGTGACACAAGCTCAAAATATGGCTGCAGTGAGATGATCTCATGATTATTTGTAACATGGTATATAGAATCTACAGTGCCAGCAGAATGCTTTCTGTTTTTGTTTTAACAGCTAGACCAAGCAACACTCTCCCTAGCTGTGAGGGAAGACTACCTGGATAACAGTACAGAAGCCAAATCAGTAAGTATTCAACCCTGTGAAGCTACTGTCAGATTCATCATTTGGGTTCTAAGATTCTTGCTTCTTCATCAGAAATAAGTAGTACTGCTATTCCTTACCATTATTTTCAAACACAGGAGGCAAACACCTTTTGTTCAGGCAGATAAATTCCACCCCTGTCTTCTAGAAGCCTGGGTGTCAGGGTATACAAATTCCCCTGCTCAGTGCCCTCATGATCTTGCCAGGGAGACAGCACATGCCAATGACATAACCAAGAAACAAGTTTTGCACTTATTCCTTAGAAGTGCACAGTATGCACTGTAGAAGTGAAGTGTGGGGACAGATACCTGGGAGACCAACAGTTCTCATATTGTACTAAGAATCACCTGAGAAGCTTTTATTAGGTGTCAATTCCTAGAGAATCTGATTTAGTGGAGTTGGGGTGGAGTCTGGGAATCTGCAGTTTTAACAGGTGCCATAGATTAATAGAGGGCTATAAGAACAGAAAGTATCAGTGAGGTTAGACTTTTTGTCCTATCTGGGAAACCTAATAGCTTCCTGGAGGTTGGAAAGAGCTGGTCCATTTCTGACTCTTTTAATTCATTTTGGAAACTTTATCAAACTTCTTAAAGAGCTTCAGACATTTATCTCTTGGATCTCTACTAGTACTAACCTCTGTCTGGAGAAGGCTCTGGAGGGCAGGAAACTAGCCAAGACCCTAAGCAGCTTTCTGGCTGAAGACATTCATTAAAGAAGATTAGCAAATCGTCCTCTTACAAAGTAGAATGCATATTTACCAACTTGTGAGCGTCTCTGTTTCTGCTAGGTTCTCAGCAATGAGGCTTGAATTCATCTCTTCCTTCTATAAACAAGAAGTCAAATCCAAGTAATTCCACCTTCAAAATATCTCTTCTAGCTACGTGGCCCTTCTTTTCTACCTTTATTGCCCTGGGTCTGATTCTTGTTTACCCTTATCTTGTCTACAGCATGCAATCTTTTAACTGGTCCCTCCTTCCCTTCTTTCTACTGATTTCTTAGCACCACTGGATAAGCTCTGTTCTTATAGCATTGCTCCCACAGTGCCTTGGCTTTGAAAATAGGCTCTTTGAAGGAGTTCAAGGCCTCTTCATGGTTGATCCTAACCCACCTTTCCTTTCTGACTCATCTACTTTTGTTTTTCCCTCAACCAAAGCAACTTGTCCTCCTCACTGCTTCAAACAGGTCTTCCTCAAATTCTCCATCCCCAATCTTTCAGGTAAGAATCCTTCTCCAGTTCTTGAGTTTCCAAACATGAAACTTTAGTAAGAAATTAATTTTGTCCTACTAATGTTATGGTTAGTAATGACATGTTTATCTTCCTCACTGGATCACACATTGAGAACCAGACTCAAGCATTATTAATTTTTCATCTGCATTGCCTTTTCCCACAGACTGCCTAGCAAGTCACCTTGCATATGTATTGAGTAGTTTGAATTTTTTTCTGAATTGAATTGGGAATGGCAAAAAAATTCTTTCTTATTAAGACTATTTGCAAAACTTGCTTACTGATCAGATCAGTTTTATTAATGACTCACTATGTGCTGAGCACTGTATAGGGCCTGAAATCATACACATAGGAAGAATAGCTTACAGAGTTCAGGTGTACATTATGGAGGAAATTTCATATTTGCTCTTTGCTAGATTTCTCTCATCATTTCTCCCTTCTCTCCCATCTTTTCCCCCTGAGCCACAGGGAACTTGTTGGAAACTGTACAAAAGTGAAAAGACACAGGGCCTTAATAACTGCAGTCATCTTTCATTTCTGAGTATGAAGGTGGATAAATTGAGCTGGAAGAGAATAAATCACACTTCCCATCAGTGTTTATGGATCAGGACTCCTGCTTTTAGAAACAGTCATTTCCCTTTATTTTATTAAAGCTTCACTTGCATGAAAAGAGGACACTTGAACATTAACTTTTTATTCTAGGCTTATTTGGAGATGTTTCATGTATCCATAATATAGCCAGTTATGGGAAGCCTAGTTCTCTTGATGCTTGATGACCGAGTATCTCTGTCTTTTATGGAAATAGTCTCACAAACCCATCACTTTTTTTGTCTCCCAAAGTGGTAGGTGGGTGGCTAGTGTTATATAATGCCTATACCATACTTTGAGCACAGAATGAAAATGAAGGACACTTATTTCTACCTTTTTTTCCTGCTTTTCTGAAACATATCTTCTAGTAGGCTATTGACATGGTCACTTGCTTTTTTATCTCTTACAGTATCGGGATGCCCTTTATAGGTTCATGGTGGACACTGCTGTGCTTTTAGGAGCTAACAGCTCTCGAGCAGAGCATGACATGAAGTCAGTGCTTAGATTAGAAATTAAGATAGCTGAGGTGAGTATTAATTGAAAATCCTTTATTCATGTTCTTTTTCTTATTTTAAAGTCAGTATATCTTGAATGAAAATAAAAATTGCAATCAAGTAACAGCATTCTGTGTCACTGCCCTTTGGGTCCAAAGTAGAACTAACAGCATCCCCTCTGGGAAGTATGAGAAGAACCATGGCAGGAAGAAGAGCTCTTCATTCTTTCCACTGTTTAAACCCATTTAACAGCCAGGTCCAGTGGTGGTGCATGCCTGTAATTCTAGCAGCTCAGGAGGCTGAGACAGGAGGATTGTGAGTTCAAAGCAAGGCCCTAAGCAACTCAGTGAGACCCTATCTCTAAATAAAATACAAAATAGGGCTGGGGATATGGCTCAGTGGTTGAATGCCCCTAAGTTCAATCCCTGGTATCAAACCAAGCCAAACAAAACACATTCAGGGCTGGGGTTGTGGCTCAGTGGTAGAGCACTTGCCTAGCATGTGTGAGGCCCTGGGTTTGATCCTCAGCACCACATAAAAATAAATAAATAAAATAAAGATAAAAAAAACCACATTTCATGTCTGTATGCTGCTCAGCTGTGGCCAGAGAATAGCAGCAGAAAGACCAGACTATTTTCCTAGACAAACTTTTGTGTGACCCTTTATAGAATATAAATGTTTAATAACTCTTTTGTGAGTATGCTGGGGATTGAACCCAGGGCCTCATGCATAGTATTGAGTCAACCCCCAACTCTGGAAAGTTACTTTTAATCCAATCTTCTTTTTCTAAATATATTTTTTAAGTTGTAGATGGACACAATACCTTTATTTTATTTTTATGTGGTGCTGAGAATCGGACCCAGTGCTTTCCACATGTGAGGCGAGCACTCTACCACAGAGCTACAACCCCAGCCCCCAGTCTGCTTTTTTTGAATAAGATCATTCTCCTTTATTTTCCCTTAGAAAATTTTGAATGTTAGCTCTTACATTTATGTCCTGATCTATTTTGAATTAAATTTAGAATATGAAATAAAGGTGAAGATTTTCATTTTTTTAATATTTATTTTTTAGTTTTAGGTGGACACAGTATCTTTATTTTACATTTATGTGGTGCTGAGGATTGAACCCAGTGCTTTGTGCATGCTAGGAGAGCACTCTACCACCAAGCCACAACCCCAGTCCTTGAGTTTCATTTTTTAAAGAATTTTAAAATTTGTTCTAATTAGTTATATATGACAGTAGAATGCATTTTTACACATCATACATAAGTGGAGTATAACTTCTTATTCTATTGGTTATTCATGATGTAGAGTTACACTGGTCATATAATTATGTGTGCACACAGGGTAATAATGTACAATTGATTCTACTATCATTCTTATCCCCATACCCCCTTCCCTCTTCATACCATTCTTACCGGGTAAGTCTGATACAAGATCTGGGCTCAGGGAAGTCTATCTACCAATTAATGTCAGGTTTCAGGCTCAGGTTAGAGACAAAACAGCATGAAAACAAACTCATGGGAGAATAATGAGAAATCTTAAATGGTTTTCTTTGTTTATAAAATAACCAGTTTCTAGAAGAACCAAAGTATGAAAGCCCTGTATGTTCACAGGTTCAGAGAAAACAAATATAGTGATATCTGCTTGTGGGGAAACTTTTGTGAAAACAAACAAACTTGTACCAAGAAACTTTGCATATGGGTTTGTGGTCTTTTGTAATGGATCTTGATAAAAAACCTGATGCAAATAAAAGTCCAAATGTTTATTGGTTTCATGTTTGGTAGGGTAATAGTAGTAAGTGGAAGTATGGAGTAGGGGTAAAGAATGAAGGTCAGGAGGGAATGGGGCTTCCTTCCTGCTGAGATGATGTTCACATTACCTCTTTCCCCATCTCCTACTTGCAATACAAAAGATCATGCCTGCATGTCACCTCTATATACTGTGAATACTGCCACAGGTATTTTGAAGTCCACAACTTTGCCTCTAGGCTGTGTATGCAGGTTGTCAGGATTCCCTTTTTCAGGCACATTAGGAGGCCCAGAGAACTGCTTTAGATTGAAGTTTTGAAAAAAACAGGGAAGGCCAGGGAGTTAGACCAAGAAGGGAAATAAAAACAGCTGCTCTGAGGCAAGACTGGAAATTATCAAGAGGCTCAATTAAGTGACAAATCCATTATATGGAGGGGAATAGCTGGCATAGAGCTGTTTTCAGCTCTGAGGTCAGAGGGCTCCAACCTGGGGTTGTGAGCCTGAGTTGAGGCAGGAGGAGGAGGCATGGATGGAAGAGGCAATGATTAACATACAGCTGGAAGGTACATGCAGTCTCCCCTATGGAGGGGAAAGGGGGAGAAGCTAAAGGCACTGGGGCATTTAGAACAGACAGGGCAACTGTCTTCCACTCAGCTCTCTAAGATTTTGCCTTGAAAAAATCCATGGTGTGTGTACTTTTGGCCCATTAGAAATGCTCCCCTCCTTCCTCCATGCGTCAGGTTACTAGATCCATTCAACATTAGTGGGATACATTGTCTTAGGGAAACTTCTAAGGCTGGGGAGGCAGGGCAGCCCAGTTAAGCCCAAATAAGTCCTTGTAAAGCATCCATGAAAGTGTGCATTTAGGAGCTGGGGAAATGGCTCAGTGGTAGAGTGCTTACCTAGCATGCATGAGGCCCCAGATTCAATCCCCATCACAACAGAAACAAAACAAAAAAGGGCATGCAATTTACCTAATCCCAGATAGAGAGACTTTGTACAAGGAGAGGACTTGTTAATGGAGTAGCCCTTGTGATCAGAACCAAGTAGAGTTTAATTGAAAAGGATTGTTAGAGAAAATAAATCTTATGCAAAATCTTGAATCATAGTCCAAATCATGGAGGGGTAATAGTGCATAGGGAATGTAATGGTAGAAGAGTTGTGTGTCATGCAAAAGAATTAAATTATAGAAAGCCTTAAAACATGGGGCATTGGTAGTGCCTGCCTGTAATCCCAGTGACCTGGGAGGCTGAGGCAGAAGGATTGCAAGTTGGAAGTCAATCTCAGCAACTTAGTAAGAAAGACCCTGCCTTAAAATAAAAAGTACTAGGGATGTATGTAGCTCAGTGACACAGCACCCCTGAGTTTAATCCCAGTACCAAAAACAAATAAAAAATTGAAAAGAACAGGGGATGTACTTCAGTGGCAAAGCACCATATGGTTCAATCCCCAGGACCAAGAAGATGAAAATATTTTTTTAAAATAAGGCCTTAAAGCAAAATCATAATGTGATTCAAGGGTGGGTATGGTTTTGTCAAAAGAAGTGATTAAGATGTCCCTTGAAGAAGGTAATAAGTGTTCCTGTTCTTAGAATAAGTTGAACATATCATTCGCAAAAAGCTTAGATTTGGTTTTGGCCAAATGGCCAAGAGCATGAGCATTGGGTGTGGAAAGAGTATGGAGAGTCAGGGCCACAGATGGAGATTTGGATATGTGTCTGGGTGGTAACCGAATCCATACCCCAACAGAGGGGTAAAGAGAATTCCAAGACCAAACAAACAAGAGGATAAAATAAGGGAAATTGTTACTGACAAAATGATCATGGGTAGCAGTGGTATCTAGATAACCTAGTGTTTGTCAGTGAAAATTTGTCCCTAGAGATCAAATGATGGTCTCTGGCTCATAGAATATTATCATTATCTGGAGACAGGTAAAAGTAGAATGTTTGCCTCAAACTGTCCAACTTCAGTTTGGCTGTCAAAAGTAAGCCAGTAATGCATTATATTTCTCCAAATTTTAGAGGAGGAGGAGATTCTGAGAAGTTGTTTTTTATACTGGGGGCAATATTTTATACTGAAGAGGATTGTAAATTTCTTTTAATTTTCTTAATCCTGCCTAAGATGTTGTCTTTTTATTTTCTCCCCTCAGCTGGGCACCACACCAAAATCTTGAAAAATTTAATAATAATATACAGATGTTTTGGCACATGTAGATAGTAGTCAGGCAGTAAGAAATGATTCATTTGAAAAAAAAAAATAACCAGTGTCTTTCTGACAGATAATGATTCCACATGAAAACCGAACCAGTGAGGCCATGTACAACAAAATGAACATTTCTGAACTGAGTGCCATGATTCCCCAGGTTGGTGAAAACTATCCAGGAAATTTTCTCTTAACTGGTCACTTTACAAGTGATTGTATTTCATCTGTGTAAATTTTTGCCTTGTAAAACCTACCATCAGTCTTTTTAGTTATCATCATCTTTGTCAACTATCACATAAAATATCCCTTGTATATGCATTAGGATGCTTTCTGTTTTAGGGAACAGAAAATCTTTCCAACAGTGGCTTAAAATTTAAAGCCCATTTTTTTACATGACGTAAGTCAAGATGTTGGGAAGTAATTGGTGTTGGTTCAGGTGTTTAATAGTGTTGTCAAAGACCCAAGTTCTATTTCACTCTCCATATTGTACTGGCATTTTGACTTCATGTTTGATGACTCATGGTTGTAAAACAGCTACCATAGTTCCATATATCACATCTTCCATCAGACAGGAAGAAGAGGGAAGGGCCAGTGATGGTCACATTTGAGTTTTCTTTTATCAGGGACAGCAAAAAAGGCTTCCCAGAATATTCCCCAGATGTCTTCCCTTTATTTCTTATTGAATAGAATTGGAGCACGTGACCACACCTAACTGAGGAGAGGAACTTGGGGGCTGGACACTGGGAAAATGAGTAACTTTTTTTCCATTTCAACAGTGAAAGCAAACAAGGGAGACAAGGATGATAAATCACTTTTAGGAGAGCCAGTCTAAAACATCGAGCAGTGTTTTAGTGAAATAGCAATGCTCTGAAGAATATAGGGGTGTTACTTTCTGTTGCTGTTTATTTTCTCCTGTGTTAAGACTGTGCTGGGGAGGTGACCAGAAAATGTACTGAGGTGTCTGTACCTGTGTGTCTAGGGAATGGAGAGACTACAGAGGGAGAGACCAGGGAGTGTGTATATAGAAGGGAAGGAAGTAGGGGAGAGAAGGAAAAGACATGGGAGGAATGGAGCATAGACTAGAGGAAGATTCCAGGGGGCTGAGAAAGCAGTATGGAGAGATGAAGGAGAGAGAGTTCAGGAAGTGGAGGAGGGCCAGAGAAGCTAGGGAGCATGCTTGAGTGCATGTGCATTACTACATAAGTGTCTTATCCATTTGTACCCGGTAAAGAAGGCAGAATTCTTTGTGATTAAGACCACAGGTCAAAATGGCAAGGATTAACACTTAATCTTCTAGATAAGTAAATTATAAGCAGTTGTATCTTTAATTATTTGGTGTAAGATTTCAAGGAATCAATTATGCTCAGCCTACTCTATTTGCCTTTCTTGTTACTTGCTGCCTAATTTACAAAGGTTTCCTTGCTCATTTTTTTTTTTCTCTCTCCCCTCAGTTTGACTGGCTTGGCTACATCAAGAAGGTCATTGATGTCAGGCTGTATCCCCACCTGAAAGACATCAGCCCCTCCGAGAACGTGGTGGTCCGCGTCCCACAGTACTTTAAAGATTTGTTTAGGATATTAGGCTCTGAGAGGAAGAAGTAAGAACTTTTTGTGTGCATTTATTTTGGTTTTTGTTTTCTCTTTAAATTAGAAGGGCCTCCCTTCTCACATCCTTTGAAAATTGTTGTTAAGGAAAGTTACAACAAAAGAGTCATAGGGAAAATTGTGGTGCCCTTTGTGACAAATAGGCCCAAACCATTGTCTGGTGTAATTTACTTGCTGTGATGACAAGAAATGCATGATGATTTGGCCTTCTATTTCTGGTCCTTCTCCATACTGTTCTCTCCGATAGCCTAAATTGTTTATTAGTTTTGGAAACTGGTTATGTAATGATGTTATTTCCTGAGATTTCTGTATGAACATATGTTCCCCGCCCCCCCCCCCCAGTTCATCCCTTGGTCTTTTGCTGTTTTTTTTCCTCTCCTGTTCTCTTTTTAGTAAATGATTTTCTGGCAAGAAACCAAAGTACCTATGTTGAAAAGACATAAGACCACTTTGAGAGCTATAGAAAAATTGCACTGATGAAACAACTTCAGGAACTTGAAAGTTTCTCTTATTTTAAAAAATGTTTTAGAATTTGTAACTTTGGTAGTTTAGTGCTACAAAGAAAAGGAATCCTAAAAATGCCAGGAAAGAGAATTGTGTGTGTTCATTAAGCTATATGACTACAGAAAATGAATCACAGAAGAGTCAATAAGTTTACAAAAGCAATTTACTAAACTAATTGCTGAGCCATGATTAAAAATCATATTTTCTGAGCTGGGTATAATGGTATACACCTATAACCCTAGGAACTTGGAAGCCTGAGGCAAGAGTATTGCAAATTTGAAGCCAGTGTTGGCAACTTTGTGAGACCCTCAGCAACTTAGTAAGACCCTATTTTAAAAAATGAGAAGGGCTGGGTCAGGTATAACTCAGTGGTAGAGTGCCCCTGGGTTCACTCCCTAGTACCCAAAACAAATTTCTTTAAAAAATTGTTTTTAGTTGTAGTGGACACAATACCTTTATTATTTCATTATTTATGTGGTGCTGAGGATTGAACCCAGGGCCTCACATGTGCTAGGCAAGTGCTCTACCACTGAGCTACAACCCCAGCCCCACAAAACATATTTTCTTAATTGTACTTGATCAAGGCTATGTTGCCAGGAATTATGTTTAAAACAGGCAGCGATAAAAGTCCTAAAAATGGGATGGGGTTTTAGCTCAGCACCAAATATAAATAAAATAAAGGTTTATTGACAACTAAAAAAAAAATTAAAAAGTTCTTTGAATAAAATGCAGCATGTATTCACCCCCGCTCCCAGCCAAAAAAAAAAAAAAAAAACATTTAGAATCCTATGAAGAGGGAGAGAAGAAGCAATAAATTCACTTTGAATTCTACCATTTATAGATAAATAGTGATTCTTTGAAAAATTTCTAAGTGAAAATCGAATCTCGATGTGGGTAAGTTGGAGGCAGAGGCTTCACATTCCAAATGTGCACCATGAACCAGTAATGCCAGCAGCATCACCTTGTATCCTTGCTGAAAATAGAGATTCCAGGGCCCTTCTCCAAAGAGTCTGAGACAGTGGGGCTGGGGGAAGGCCAAAGAATCTGGATTTTAAATAAGCAGCCCAGGAATGTCTTATGATTAGCTCTTTTTTTTGAGGGGGGGGTGTAGGGAGGAACACTGTGTTAGAACAATTTCTTTGTAAATACTTCCTAGCTCTGAATGCAGATGGAACATTCCTCATCTGAAGTGCCTATGACCAGAAGGGTTTAGATTTCAGATTTTTTTTCTGATTTTGGAATGTTTGCATACATATAATGAGATATCTTAGGGATGGGGCCCAAATCTAAACATAAAATTCCTTTATGTTTCATATAATATTTAGAGCATGCCTGCATTTTGACTGCAACTCTTTACATGAGGACAGGTATGGAATTTTCCACTTAGGGCCTCAAGTTGATAATAAAAAAGTTTTGGATTTTGGAGCATTTCATATTTTGGATTTTCAGATTAATGTTGCTCAACTTATACTACAAAATATGGCCCAAATGATTTTCTACTTATATGCATTGAGTTCTTGAGTGCATTTTAAATTTCATTGGTAATTTCCATTGAAAGGTGGGATTTGCCAGGCTGAAGATCATTGTTTAGAACCTCAAAAGTCAGTTTCTTGTAGTGTCTGTTATCATCACTTGTAAAATAATAGCAATTTTTGGACATTGTGTTAATTTTGTTTCCCCAAAAATCTAATTTATAACCAGGGGATAAATTGGGCCATGGTCTACTGTATTAGAAAAATCATCTCCATGGTAATGATTATATTTTAGAATTGTAGGACTTTTCATAATAATAGTGAGCAGGAAAAACCATGATTAGAGGGAAATTTCATTGTGGTTCCTGTCAAAATGATAACTTAGACAAATGTAAACATAGTGAGCAACAGTAGATGATGTAGATAGAAAAATACCTGAAGATATTATGTACTATAAAACTTCATTTAAAAATCAAGACAAAAGCCAAATCTTTGACAGTTTATCCCCCCATAATCAATTCATCAAGAATAACTTGAATTCTGTGAATTCTTGTGAGATTTCAAGATACTCTATTGTCTTGAGAATATTGACAGCACTTTATTGGCATGGTGAAGGTAATTTCATACAATATTTTTAGTGCACCTGTATTTTGGCTGTGCCCTGTCATAGGAGGTCAGATGTGGAATGTTCTACTGGTCGCCTCATGATGATGCATTTTAGATCTCAAGTTTGTAGATTAGAGGTGCTCAACTAGTACTAGCCTATTGTACCTCCAACTGGTTAGATCTTGCTAATGTTGGCAAGTCTCCTGCCATTTTTAGGGTTCCAAAGCTATTAAATGTGCATCAAATGCCCATTTCCTGGCTGCTGCTTCCCCCTTTAGATCACACCCTGCTGTTAGCTTAGTACAATGCAACCTTTCCTTCCAATTGGGTGGCTATGGGGACAGTTACACTGACACTTTGGAAGGTAGCACATGACACAAAACTAGAGCAATGAGATCTCGCTGAGGTGGTGATGCCAGAGACTGCATTAGGCCCTTGTGGTTCAATGGAGTAGGTGGCCAGGGCAGGGCCAATGGAGGCATGAGGTGGAGGCCAACATGGGGAAAAGGAGTTGGTAGTCAAAGTAGAAAAGTGGTGAGGAGGTAGGAATGTGCTGAATCTCTCAAGTTATTTGCATCTCTTCCTAACTCTATTTTCAGTAATCTCACCTATAATTTGTAATCAACTAGGGTAGACGTTTTACACCAGGGAAACTAGCAAATTCTGCAAATTATTACTTTTTCTTGGCAAGGCAGTTGGTAGATGTTTACTGGCATATCACTGAGCTAGTAACATAGCTTTTTACATAAAGAGAGACTCGTTTCTATGTCCCCTTCATTTCTCCTCCCCACTCCAACTTAAGGCTGCCTTGGACATATTTTATCCAATTTGATCTATGGAGCAAGAGTTGGGGGTTGGGGACTAAGGAAGGATGGTGTTAGAAAAAAATCAGCTTGGGTTCCTCATTCTAGCAAGGCCTGGCCACATGGCTATCATCTGCCTTAGAACTCTTTTAGCAGACTTGTCTCAAGCAAATCCTTGGGAGTTTGCCAAGCCCCTGTGAGCTTTCCTGTCTTTAGTTTTATTTTATAGAGCAGCACAGTGTACATTAAAGTCAGATGATTCTTGTTGAACAGATGCTCCCAAAGGCTCACCTGGAAAATGTATAGTAATGTGAACCTCTCATGAGGCTCATCTCTTCTGAGGTGGTCTATGGCCTTGCTTTTCAAAGTATAGTCCACAGATGAGCAGTCTGGGCATTACCTGACAACTTGTCAGAAATGCAGAATCTCAAGTCTATGCCCTTGACCTAACTGAATCAGAATCTGCAATTCAATAAGGTCCCCAAGTGATTTTTTTTTGTGGTGCTGGAGATTAGAATCCAGCTCCTTGTGCATGCAAGGCAATCACTCTACCAACTGAGCTATATCCGCAGCCCCTGCCAGGAGATTTATGTACACATTAAAGTTTAAGAAGCACTGACCTAGGATTTAGGAAGGCCTCAGTGAGCCATATATGCAGAAAGATGAAAAGATGGGGTTTTTCTTCACCAGAAGTTCTCAACCTTGACATGTATCAGAATACCTTGGAGGGCTTGCTAAAACACAAACTGCTGGGCCCCATCCCTGCATTTTCTGATTTAGTATGTCTGGAATGGGACAAGGCCAGTTTTCTACCAGGTTCTCAGGTGATGCTGAAACTTCCAATACTGGGACATGCTTTGAGAAGTACGGCTCTAGGCATGCATCTGGGCAACCTATAAGATTTAGGAAGATTTCTGAGATTTGAGAATGTTTGAGAAGAACCTCTATGATTCACCTCAGGTAGCATGACAGGGAGAAATAAATGCAAACTGTAATCTGAAGACCTAAATGTTAGGCCCAGATTGGACATGTTCTTGGAAGTCCCTTTACCTCTGACCTTTATTTTCTTCATATGAAAATGAAGCTAATTATAATAACCACCCCATGGCACTGTCATCAGGATCAAAGGAGGTATTTTATAAGCTCTTAAATGTAATGTAAATGTAAGCTGCTGCTAATTCAGACCATGGAGCAGCAAAAGCTTCTTAAAGAACAAATCTTCCAAGTCAGAGGATTTGGGGAAGGATTTCATATTGCTTTCTTAGTGGTGGGTTCTCTTCTGGGATGCTTTCCTTTCCTTTATTTATTGCCATTTGGGGAAATTACTGTACTGCTGGAAAAGCTTTTTGGAAAAAAAAGATAATATGTGTTATTTTCAAGGACTGTTGCTGATCTAATTTTTGTTTTGTTTTTGTTTTTGATGTATCTGAGCATTAGGTGGCAGTGATTTGCTCATTATGGTCATATCTGTTCCTGATGTGGTGATATTTAGCACTGCTAAACTATGCTCCATAGCATTCTGTCAGCATATTTATACCATAGTGGAGCCACTTGGTAGTACCATTGGCTGGCTGTGTGAGCTTCCCAGCATTCCATCTTCCACTCTCAGAAGCCTCATTGTTATGCTATCCTCTTAGGAATGCATTGGCCTGGACGGCCTAACTATTATCTTTTTGTGCCCACAGATTTCTGCAAAGTATCTTTGTTGGAGTGTTTTGTTGTCTCTGACTGGACAGGAAATCTAGCCAAATTCCAGGGCTTTCATTCACTGTGTGGTGTAGAGAAAAACATACAGGCTTTACATCTAGAAACACCTGGCTCTTGTCTAGCCTCCATTGCTTATTACACTGCTTCTCCGATTTGGCTGCACATTGATTTGAAGGAAGAATTTGAAAATAATATTCACACTGGGCTTCACCCAAGAGATTGTGATTGAATTGGCTTGGAGTGGCCTGGACATCTGGACTTTTAAAAACTCCCCAGGTGATTCTACTAGTTTGAGACCCACCAACTGTGTGATGAGTTTACTTAATGCTTCTAAGCCTCATGTTTCTTATATGTAAAATGGGTATAGTAACTTCTCTCCTATAGTGAGTGGTGCTGTGAGAATCATCAATAATGTGAGATGCCTATGTGGGATGATTTCAGGTGAGCTGGAATGGCCCCTACTTCTAAAACCCCAGTCTACTTCTGACATACTGACTCTTTTATTACCACTGTCACTCTCCATCCTCACAACTTCCCCATTTGATCTGACTCATCACCACCCCCTCTAGGGAATATCTTTTGACTTTGTGGAGGGACATCTGCCAGCCAGTGATCTTCTAATCTGCCCCTGTTGATCCAGCACAGCTCACACACTCAGCAAACAGTATTTGAAAGACAAAGAAAATATAGCCATTGCACTAGGGTCAGGAGCTGCCCCATTGATGCACTAGAGATTCCAGGCCCCAGTTGCTGTCCTGCATCTTCCCAGTGTGGCTTGTCTTTTTGCTTACTTCCTTTACTAATGATCCTGCTCACCATTCCCTCCAATGTATGGCCTAGTCTCCCATTATTTAGCCTTCCAACCTTCAGATATAGTTTAAGCCCTGTCCCTCTCATGAAGTCTACATTTATCCCTCAGCATGAGATATGCTGTACTTCTAGGGAATGTCTGGCACCCACTTTGGGGTGCTAGGACCTGCCAAATATTTATTTATTCACTCCCCCAACTCCTCTGCTCAACTAAAAGCTTCAGGAGATCAGGGCCTATATCTTTCTTACCTCTTTATCTCCCCAGCATCTAGAACTATTAGTACATATCTGGATGCTCAAAGTATGTTGATTGAGTCAGGGAAAGAAGGCTCCTTTATGTACTTATAGTGTGTCCCTTCAATTAAAACCCAATGATATGAACAAACAGAAATCTTGAGTTCTTTGACTTAGGTGCTAGGTTCCTGTTTTTCAACATTCCTCATGGTACCTGGCACAACACTGGGCCAAGAGTAAGTGCTCAGTGAGCACTTTTTGTCTTGTTCAGGCATAGAGATAGATGTATATGCAAAAGATCTGAAGCAATGACCTAAAATGGGGTGTTTATCAGAGTGGTCTGAACAAAGCATGGGTGAGGGGCTTGACTTTACTGATCTGGGTAGTTGCCTCTAAGGGGAGATATTCATAGCCCAAGGAGATCCCTTGGGTCCAAGAAGAAAATGTTAGAACTTCTATCTTTATTTTTAAATTTTAAAATAATTATTAGGTTTTATTAAGTTCTACTATGTACATGGCCATGGACCCCTCATTTGATCTTGATGATGATATGCATGGCAGAGGCACTATTACAGTCACTGGTTTGTTTGCATTTGACATATTGAAAATAATCATGAGCCTCTTACATATACCTACAGATTTGTGAATTTTTAAAATGTAGTTTAGTTTAAACCTCACAACAAGGACAAGTAGTTTAAAATATTTTTTTTTTTTTGCAGAGAAACATGAACTGAAGCTACTACTACTAACATAAGCATAAGCATGGAATGGAAATAAAATGGCAGAAGTGACCCTTCTCTCACACTAGTATGCCATCTTGGTTAGCCAGATGACAAGGGAAAACAATAGTGATCTAACCAGATATGACAAGGGTATCTCAAAATTTTTGAAAAAGTCAAAATGACTATAAGAAATATGGATTTATATGTACTGTCACGGTATTAGCCCAATTCTATGAGGATAATATGTTTTAAATAATAAGCATAATATTTGAAGGGTTAATTTATGACTTTTTGAAAATATTTTTATATTATCTCTTAAAATTTCTGTATTTATTTAAAGATTCCTAATATTTTAGCCTGTACCTATATAGAAATTAAAACAAGCATCCACATATTGTTGAATATGCTGAAAAATATTTTGCTGTCAGGAGTGCACAGCCACTACATTAGAGAGCCATGCAAATAATGAGAGAGTAGGTTGTTTTTGATGAGCCAATTAGCATCATCATGTCACACCAATGTCACGTTTCTGGTTGACCCAAGGGCCATCTTAGGAATGTGTGTTATTAGTCACCATGGTAATGGCACAGCTGGGAGTAAGGTGGGTCATCAAAAATCCATCATCACTATTGAATTAGAAATTAACTCAGATCATGTGTCCTTCTGAGCTCAGGACATCTTTTGCTTATAGAAAAAGGCACCACTTAAATGTAGCAGATTTTTGAAAGTAGGTATCATGGGCATTGCAAGAGCGTATGGGAATGTTCATGTTTTGGAGTACACAATATAACCTTAGGTATTTACTCTTTCGCAAACATTTTGTTACTTATATTAACCTCACAATAACCCTGTGAGTCAGGGAACACCCTTCATGTATTGTAAGGAAAGAGAAATCAGAGAGCTTCAGTGACTTCCCTGAGTTCACATATTTAATAAGTGCAAATTTAGACAATAGGTATCAGTCGGTATTTTGCTGTTAATTTCTGAAGGCAAATAATACATATGCATTACATCAAGTCACCTATAATTTGAAGGTATTTACAGTTTCCAGGTATGGGAGATAAGGCAATAGTGGACTCTGCCAGAAAGAAAGCGAAGTGTTCACTTTTCAGACCTGGGGTTGAAATATTCATTTTATCTCTGTAGTAAGTAGGTGGTGAAAGGCAAGCCAATTTTGGTTGTGCTTATTGACATTGTATCATTTTATGACATTTCTCAAGTGAAAGTGTTGCATTTTTATATGAACAGGTGGTCTCTCCGTGGAGCTTTGCCAACAGTTTTTCTGAAGGTGTTCTGCAGAGGATCAGATATCGACCTAATATACAATAAATGTGCATTTCTCTATGTTAACAGGACCATTGCCAACTATTTGGTGTGGAGAATGGTTTATTCCAGAATTCCAAACCTGAGCAGGCGCTTTCAATATAGATGGCTGGAATTCTCACGGGTACGTTTAAGAAGATTGTAATGTTACAGCACTGGATAACTTTACATGCCAGAACAGTCTGTATATTAACTGGTCCAATAAAAACTGCCTTTAGGGATGGGATAGGAGGAAGTTTTGCAGCCCAAGGTCTTTTCTTGTTTGATTTCTTTTTGTTCAGGTACGATTTAAATACAGTAAGAGTACACTCAAGCTCTAATTTGATGGGGCTATATAAAGATATTTAAGGTAATACTTACGGCCGTGGTCACATTGTTTTTCAACTCTCCCCTCTTATTAACTTATTTCCATTTTTCCCCAGGGTTTTTAACTGGGTCACTATAATTATAGTTTTAACATTTTTTAGTGATATGTTTGAAACTATCTTTTAAAAGTAGTTTTTATTTAATTTTTCAGTGACATATAATGTATATGTTTATGGGGAATAGGGAGGACTGATGAAAGTGGAGATACTGATTGGAGGGTACAGAGTTTCATTGTGATTGATTGCACTGTAACTGTCTTTTATTTTTAGTATCCTGAATATTCACATATGTATGACATAGGCATTAGATGGTAAAGTTTCATTTTTAATTTGGTGACAGAGTTTTGTCTTTAACTTGACTTAGATCTTTAATCTTGAAACTATCCTAATTCTGCTAGGCCCACTCCATGAGGCCCACGCCATATTTTTTTTTTCCGTGTCCTTTGAGACCTTGCTCAAGTGCCTGAATTGATTTCCCTCTCCCCACTCACCTGAATTTTGAGTCTTTGCTTCTTGCCCATCCCGGATGCCTCCTAATTACACAGATATTTTTATGGTCTGTTTCTGAGGTTTATTTATGAATATTCTGCCACCACTAGAGGACTTAAAGATTTTGTGACTTCTAAAAATATTTTATTTTTCTATCAATTCAAAGCTAAGTGAAAGCAAATTTTATAAGCTCTGATTTCATTTAATAGACATTTTGTTTATTAGAGAAACTAGTGAGCATAGAAATTTTAGTGGGCCATTGTGGTTGCAGAGTAATGCAGGTATTGTGGGTACATTTTGACCCTTTAAAGTGACTAGAATAGAAAGTCATTTTGTAGAGTATAGCATAAAACAACTATGTATATTTATGTTATATCAAATGGTTCAGATCCAAAACAAGTAGATTTTTAAAAATATTTATTTTTTAGTTGTAGTTGGACACAATACCTTTATTTTATTTGTTTATTTTTATGTGGTGCTGAGGATGGAACTCAGCTCTACCACTGAGCCACAACCTAGCCCCAAAACAAGTAGAATTTTTTTTTTGATGTGAGTGTATTTTTAAGTCTTATGGATCACATAAAAGATGATAACCAGCTGCTTTCCACCTCTACTGTGAAGAGARWGARAGAGRGAGRAAGAGAAAGTAGTGTGTGAAATTTGAGGTTAGGTATGAGGGGATGTTTCTTGAGTGTGAAGTGCTAAATATAATTTTGAATTTCCAAAGAAGGTTGTAGGAACTCTTTCTCTAGAGGTTTTAAAAATAGATTCATACCTTACCTCTGAGAGTGGTCATGTTACCAGAAGCAGAGGAAGAATAGATGAACTGAAGCATTAATCTCTTTTCCCTGCTTCAACAACCTGGTTCTTACTTTGTACAAGGGATGATTCTGGCCACCATTCACCATTCTCAAAGCCTCCCTTATCCCCTCCACTGCCTTCCTGCATGCCCAACCTCCAGGGACAACTTAAACTATATTTATTTCTCTGCCTTCATTCCCAAGAATAAACCTTTAAGCCCTCCAAGTCCTGCTTTCAAAGTTTCTTACTTATTTGTAAATGTTTTCTTATGATGGTATAATTGAGACTGAAGGGAGAAGCATTTACATCTGTATTTTATTTGTTTACCAGTGTGTTCTCTGCTATGACACAATGTAAATATGCTCCCTGGGTTGTTCATGGTGGGTCATGTTATCTTACTCTTAGTATATTTTTAGGTATATTCCCCAGAGCAAGGAAACTCTCACTGGCAGGAACTTTGATCTAGACTTTTTCTGATGGAACTTCAATTCTTAATAGATATTAAGTACTATCTGAACACTTGAACACTTGAACATCCCTTTGGATCCCTACTGAAAAGCTGTATCATTGTTTAGATCCTTTGCTTAATGAAGAAAAGTGAGAGAAAAGACATGTTACATTGTATTTCATTATCAAAACATTTTTATTTAATTCTAAAAAAACAGGAACAAGCAGAATTATTTTTCTTCATCTGAGTTTGCCTTTGCCTCTGCTATCTTACATGTATATGGGCTTGGGTGTGTAATGTTTTAAATATTGTTTTCTTCAGCTGGTTGATTTTTTTTTAGAAATAGGTTTTATCCAATGAAGATTAAACTGGATTGATTTTCTCCCGCAGGTGATCCAGGGGACCACAACTTTGCTGCCTCAATGGGACAAATGTGTAAACTTTATTGAAAGTGCCCTCCCTTATGTTGTTGGAAAAATGTTTGTGGATGTGCACTTCCAGGAAGATAAGAAGGAGATGGTAAGTGGAGCTCCTCAGCTGGTAAAACAGTGGCAATTTAGCCAGATGTAATAAGGGTATAATCAGCAGGCCACTGCCAGTCTTCCAGGTGGTAGAGATCTATAGGTGTTCTCTTTGGATTCTTTCCATTTCTCAGTGAAACATGAGAAAAGATCAAATGAGAGTAAGATGGGTAAGCAGATATTGAAGGTTGGAAGAAAGAGGAGAAGGTGCTAATTAGTTGTCCAGAGGAGTGGGAGAGTGACTTAACTGAAGAAATATAGTATGGCTACTTGGAACTAGTCAGGGTCTAGGTCTAGGGGAGATTCCAGGTCACAAATTTAAAGAGAGATTTGCCACCATGGCAATGTAGTTTTTCTCCATCTGTTTCAGCTGCATTGTATTTTTTTCTTCCAGCTTTATTGAGGTACATTTAACATATCAAAATTATATATATTCAAGGTATATAGTATGATGATTTGATATACTGATATCTTGTGAAATGTGTCAATCAAATCAACACATCCACCACCATGTCATTTTGTGTTTGTGTGTGGTGAGGAAATTTAAGGTCTACTCTCTTAGCAAATTTTAATTATACAATACATTATTTTTAACTATAGATACCATGCTGAACATTAGATATCCAAGACTTATTCCTCTTATAATTGAAAGTTCGTATTCTTTGACCAGCATCTTCCCATTATTTCACTCTTAGCCCCTGACAATTACTGTTCTATTCTCTGCTTGTATGAATTCAACATTTTTTTAAAGATTCCATATGTAAATGAGATTATATTGTACTTATGTTTCTGTATCCGGCTTGTTTCACTTAGAGTGATGTCCTCCAGGTTTATCTACGATGTTGCAGAAGGCAGAATTTCCTTGTATTTTGTGGCTGATTAATATTCCACTTTATCTGTGTTTCTTTATTCATTCATCCATTGATGGACATTTAGGTGGATTCTATGTCTTGGATATTAGGAATAGTGCCACTAGGAAAATGGGAGTGCAGGTATCTCTTCAAGATACTAATTTTGTTTCCCTTGGAATGACTGGGTTGTACATGAATCCTTTTTTTTTTCTTTTTAGGATTTCTCATACGTTTTTCATGATGGTTATACCAATTTATATTCCCACTGTGTACAAAGGTTTTCTTTTTCCACATTCTTGTATCTCTTGACAAGAGCCATCCTAACAGATGAGAGGTGATCTCATTGTGCTTTTGATTTGCATTTCTCTGGTGATTAGTGATGTTGAATGCATTTTCATACACCTTCTGGTAATCTGTATATCTTTGGGAAAATATCTATTCAGGTATTTTGCCCATTTTTAAATTAGATTATTATTATTATTATTTGCTATTAAGAGGGCATTTTTTGAATTTTCAACTTGAATTGAGCCAGGTTTTTGTGTGCATTTTGATGAATTATGTTTTACAGATATCAGGAAGCAAAGCATCTAGGTATGATTAACTAACAGAAATCCACATAATTGTTGGCTATGGTAGCCCACACCTATAATCCTAGCCATTAGGGATGCTGAGGCAGGAATGCAGCAAGTTTGAGGCTAGCTTCAGCAGCTTAGCAAGATCCTGTCTCAAAAAAGGGGGATTGAAGAAGGGGGAGGCTGGGAGTCTGGGGTATAGTGGTAGAGTGCTTGCCTATTGTATTTGAGAACCTGGGTTGAACTTCCAGTACTGAAAAAAGTCCATGTAATCAGTCAGATACAAATATATAAGCATCTTTAATTTAAGGGTAAATACATAAAGTCTATTTAGTCATGATTGTTCAAATGGTTTATATTATGTAGTGATAAATATTAATACCAAAATGTTGGAATATGTATGGATACATAATGCATAGCTATGTATTCTGTGCTGAAGTTTGCTTTGGAATACCATAAATCTAAATACATTTTCCTACATTAATTTGTTTTTGTTGTCTTTGGATACTTTGGAGAATTTTTGTGAAGTTTGAGACTTTATATTTGAAATAGAAAGTCCTCTTGCCAGTAATTCCACTGAGGAATTAATGTCTTATTTTAAAATATTCAATATTCTCCTTATGTGTTTTCTTTTGCTTCTTGGTTGGAGTAAATGAGTGGAAAACTTATCAGATTATCACAGTGATAACTTTATAAGTTCTGGGAAGGATATAAAAATAATTAAGGGATAATAGATATATATGTATATATATATGAAGATTCTTTTGGTAGTGTAAAAATTTTAAGTAATATGAAAAGTATGTGGATTAAATTTGTTTTCTCAGTTTGGGTGATAAAGACCCATTTTCATATGTCATAGTGTAGCATTCTAAAATGAAGTTGATTTTGGCAATTATTTCCCTTATTTTGATGTACGTGGGGGGCACTATGTTATGTATGCAGATATTCATCTCTTTTACATAAAATTATTTGCCTCCCTTATGCCAAAGCTATTTGCTTCAGGGAATACTTAAGTTGGAAACTTATAAGAGAAAGATCTGGCTTTTGATAGCCTTGTTACAGGGCTCACATCCAAGAACCACCTGGAACCACTGATTTACTTGAAAAGCATTCCGTATTATTAGCTACAGTCCAAAGAAAAAGACAAACAGAAAGTCCCCAGTGGGGCAAATTCCAGAGACCTTAACTCAGAGGAAAGGCTGCCATTATTTATTTATCAAAAAAGTTTGTTAAGCAAATGAATATGGTCAGAAGGTTAAACTTTATGTACTTTTTAAACTTTAATATGTACATGGATCACAGGATCTTCTTGTTAAAAGTACAAAATCTCATTGCATTTTAACAAGGGTCTTTTAAACTTGGGTTCAGTATATGGCCCAAGAATTTGGTTAACCAGCTACCAGATGCTGCTGCTGTCGTTCCAGGGAACACACTTTGAGTAACAAGGCTTTCTCCTCTTTCATGTGTTTGTAAAGAGTTACTACCAAAAGCACAAACCCGGTGATTCATGGGAGCAGGCCAGATCAGCAGACATTGACAGCAATACTTCATTTACCAAAATCTATTGCATCAGTGTAATAATTGCTTCAATGTTCAGATCATTGAATTTTTTTTTTTTGTGATCCAGATTGGTTTAAATGGACAGTGCCAAACCCTACTTGAGGGCCTCCATACTTGTGCCCCCTACACTGGACTATTTTGCTTTGAAAACAGACACCTAGGTTTTTCTAAGGAATTCTTGCTCCTCTTCAGTGTCTCTGATTCTAGACTCTCTTGACTGCAGGGTTGGCCCAATTTTGCCTCTGGTTGGTACCCTTTATTATTGATGGTGGATGGGAGAGAGGAATTCATTTCCAGATTTTCTTGGTAGAGGGAGAGCACCCCCATCCTCACCTTAGGTATCTGACTCTTACTGACTTACTTACCTACCTACCTACCTACCTACCAGGGTTACCTTCTTTTTTCACTGGGAAAACATACTTCCACATTATTCTTTCCTTATGACTTTCTATGTACAAGTACACATTCACCATACAGGTATGCCAGTACACCCTTCTACTCATTCACTTACGTGATTACAGGAGTTTTGCAAATTTAATTAGAAATGAGAAGAATAGCATGTATTAAAGGAGAGTCATTCAACAGAAATTTAGTCACCTAAAGAGATCAGATGGAATAGTCTGCTTTTCAGATAGTAGAATAGATGTTGGCTATAAGCCTTGCTTGTCACAGGCCAGTGGAGTGAGTATAGGGAGATATAGAATTTTTTGGAGAGTGGTTGTGTTAGTTTTATGTCACTGTAATACAATACCTGAGATAAATAATTTAGAAGAAAGATTTATTTTATTTCATGGTTTCAGACTATAGTTTGTTGGCCCATTTCTTTTGGACCCATGATGAGGAGATAATCATGGTGGAGGCATAATATAGAGCAAAAATACTTACCTCATGGCATCAGGGAAGCAGAGAGAGACGGGAAAGGTTCAGGTCCCAGTATATTCTTCAGGGATACATCCCCAATGACCTACTTGCCCTAAGTTTCCATCATCTCCTCACAGCACCATTGGCTGGGGGTCAAGCCTTCAAAATATGAGCTTTTGGGAGGCATTGAAGATCCAAAGAATAGTAGTGGATGTCTTTGTGGTGTCCAGTAGGACTACAATATGAGCCATGTATGTAACTTTAAATTTTATAGTAGCCACATTAAAAAAGTAAAAGGAAATAGTTGAAATTAATTTTAACAATGTTTTGTTTAGTCTATCAAAAACAATTGTTATTTCAGTATATAATTAATATAAAATTACAAATACAATAATTTATATGCTTTATTTCAGTCTAAGTCTGAAACTCCATGTGTATTTTATATTTATAGCACATCTCAGTTTGGACTAGTGACATTTCAATTGTTCAATTGCCACATATTGCTAAGTGGCTATCATAATGGAAATTGTTGATCTAAAGAATCCAAGAAGGATCCCTTGATCTCAGCATGATAGGGTTTGGTCTCTATGTGAGAGGTTGTTAGTAGCCAGGAGTGGGAGGGTAGCATTGTTGGTCAGTAGCCAAGTAGATTTCTAGGAGAACTATAAGATTAGTGGCAAGGACTCAACACTAGGATTCATGGCCTGGGAACAAGGGTGGGATTTGGAGTCAAAGTGCTGCTTTATCAGAATACTTCAGGTGGGATAGCAGCTTCTCTACTCTGAGCAAGTACTTTGGGGCCTTAGTTCTCATTGGCTCAGAGACTATGTGGGGTTGAATGTATAAATTAAAGATATCCAGTGGCCTGGAGGTGCAAAGGACTTGACCAAGCCAAAGCCAGGGGTCCAAGCTCAACTCTACTCATGGTTAGTGAGTAGCATTAAATACCATTCAGGAGTAAAGCAGATTGAGTATAGAAAAAAGCCAGGGTAAGTGTAATGATAAATGGAATTTTCCTTGACCTTGGTGGCTGGGATATATTGGTGGGGATCAGGTGTGCAGGTACTATCCAGGATTCACCAAGATTAGTCTCTGGCTAACTATTTTCATTCAGGAATGCAGGCCTGGAGTACTTTGTTTCAATTTTTATTTTT